TCAGGAAACACCCTTCTACGGTGTGGACAGCCGGGAAGTGACATCCGCCCTCATTGTCGTAACAGCACAAGAGACCAAGTTGGTTTTGATTAAATCCTTCCTACGCCCCCTAAAATCTCTCTTATCTCCGCCTGACCTCATTGGTGTAGGTGTAGTATTACGTCCTAGGGCAGAACTAACCCTCTTATACTGGATCCCAGTAGAAAGTCGCTTATGCGCTGTCCAACTACACAGGACGGTACAAACTAACTAAGATAGAGAAATTCGCCGTTGCCTCTTTGTTATCTCTGCCTACGCCCCACTGACCGCAGTTTACAAAAGACAAAAGATGAGTTTTACAGAAACCTCTCTAATCTTCTTCGAAAAGTTAGGCGCTCTGATACAGTAATAATGGCTGGTGACTTTAATACTCAGGTAGGTAGACTGAGTGTAAAGGAAAGGCACCTGGTGTATATTATGGTATCGTGGCCTGCTGCAGCTATGCTCAGATAACCACCTTTTTCTAGCAAATACTAACTATAGGCATAAGGAAAAACATCTTTTTACTTGGTGACACCCAAAGCCTACACAACGCTGCACCTGACCAGATCAGCCATTTATCGAGAGGCTCTATTGAAGACTGCCGCTCATTATGGAGTACATGTTTAGATTAAGACCATGGTCTAGTGCGAGCCAGCATTTGTTTGGGGCTAACTGGACGTAGGAAAGACGCTGCAATGAAACCTGCTAGGATTCTACTTAATGATAGCATAGGTAAGAATATATTTGAGAGATGAATTGAAAAACAGTTAGGCAGAGATGTTACTGGTGCCCACCCCAAGGAACCTTCGAATGATATCCACAAAGCTGTGGAAACAGCAGTGACATCTGCTGGTAAGGTAAACCATAAGGTTAGGGAGAAGCCGTGAACTTCAGTAGCATCTACCAAACTGACGGAAGCTCGAAAGCTCATCCCATCTGGCTCTGAGTGCGATGAGGAGCGGATTCAGCTTAGGCGCCGGCCGATGAAAAGCCTACGCAATGATCAAGGACAGTGGTGCGTAGAGAAAGCGAGAGGGATGGAAACGGCAACGGCCATAGGCAACAGTAGACAACTCTTCAGACTCATCAAGGAAACCGATATTGGGAACCCTAATGTGAGTCAAACTATTTCGGAAAAGGATGGTCTTATTATCCATTCTCAATCCAGGAGATTGGATCAATGAGCAGAACACTTAAGGGATCAGTTCAACTGGCATTCAGCCACGCTTTGGTTGCCCACCATCTCCAGCCATCCTGAATGGCAAATCGACGTAAGTCCTCCAACTCTTAATGAAGTTGAGAAAGCGATAGGAAATCTGAAGCAAGGGAGATCAGCGGGTCTTGATTGATTTACCCCTTAGATATTTAATGATAGTGGTCCAGTTTTAACAGTTAGATTGACTGAGATCTTGGGCAGAATTCGGGAACAGCACTTAATCCCATCCGACTGGTCCCGATCCCTGATTATCCCAATTGATAAGAAAGGACAATAAAAGGGTAATCAGTCTAAATAATATAGTTTCTAAATTGTTAGCCTCGATTATCCTTAGACACCTAACTAGAGCTCGTGAAGAGCAGACTAGAGAAAACCAGGCTGGTTTCAGACCTGCAAGTGGATAAATGGACCAAATATTCACACTTCATCAGGTTCTAGAACATAGACACACATTCTGGCGTCCTACTATAGCTGTATTCCTGGACCTTAAGGCGGCGTTTGACGCTGTTGATTGTGAAGTTCTGTGGCAGTGTCTGTCATCAACAGGTGTGCCAGAGAAGCCCATCAGCCTTGTGCAGACTTTTAGTGGCTCACGACTGGACTGCAGTGTAGATGAATTGTCGAGTGTGCAATAAAATACATCTTCCTGTCCCTTTCCGTATATCATACCTTACAAACCCTATTCGTGCGACGGCAATAGTAAGAAGCTAAATACGGTGTTGCGGATTAATTTATTTTATGGATTCCTCTATACGGACAGACATGAGAATGGCAAGCACGCAAGCAAAGCGAAGCTAATTGGAGAGGGCGAGTTAGCCAACTTTTGTGTGCTGAAGAATAACTAAGTATTTATCGTCAGGCAATAATAAGCAAGACATGTGATAAACGAGTAAGCTTCCACATACGATCAAATATACAATAATCGATACTATAATCAGATTATTACAAATATAAAAAATGGTCGATACATTAATCGAATAATTTAAACGACTAATCATTGAAGCACAATGAATGAATGGTGAGATGCTACAGGCTTCCCACTCCAATACTACTTGATAGAGTGAGAGCATATGACGAACTGTCGTAGGATGCATCAATTCTTCGTCTTCTCACAAATTCTAATCCTTTGAATTCTTTATCAATTTTTTCCTTTATCGAGCTCTGATATTCTCTATTACCGACAGTACTGCTATTACCTTGACTAGTATAGGATTTAAATCGACAATTCTATCTTTATGCTAATGCAGTTTAGCAACTTCAACTGATGTACGGAGATACGAAGTTCTATGTTGAAGCTGACTAGCTGACTTACCTTAATCATTCAAATGTTACATTTACTTAAGGAATTGTAAACACAGATTATAGCTTTCGGTTGGAATTTCTAAAATTTTAATATTAATAAGTTTTTCCCACATAAATTATGATTTCTATCAAGTCTAAATTTTCATTCAGTTTATCATCATTTATTGATCACTGATCTAAGGTAACTTAGAAAATTCATTATTATGAAAGACTGATTCTATTTGAATAACTTCAGTGATCAAATAAATTTTCACATCGAAAATTATAGAATGTAACATTTGATCAAAAACTAATTGAGCTTCACTGAATACATCTGATCAAACTCCATTCAGAAATGAGCTCCAATCAAATAAAAAAATTCATGCAGAAAGTGGACATCTGGCCATATATAACACTTGACTTTATACTATCATCATACTAGTAAGTAATTAGAAAACTAAAAAAACATTTGTTATTAACAATCGAGATTTGAAATATAGAAATCGATAAAAAGCTGTATAAACTGTGTGAATCTCGATCGATCATCTGAAGCAATATGAATTGCATAGCCGTTTGATGGTTTTTCCTAAAACGTGAATTACCGACATGAAGCCATCCAATAAATGTAAATCAGAAGACAGCAACTGCACAACAAGCAGAGTTGTTTATTACACTAAACTAGACATGTATAAAGTATTTGAAAATCAAAATAAACAGTATTAAGTATCACTGGAAACAATAATGAGTGTTAGATATTTTAACTGTTTAAAAATCCTATTGATATTGAAAAGCTAATATTTAATGGATGAATATTCTTTTCAATAAGTTTTCATTATGTTCAACAAAGGCCAGGCTTAAGACAGAATGCATAGTTTCAAAATCTAGTCATTGGAATTAAAAGGATTTGTGAAAATTGTTAACGTTTTATTTTACAAACAATCTTAAATTCACATGTTATGAATTTACGTATGTATCTTGCCCTAAACCTGGTCACTTTTCATATTATTGATCTGGATGTAGAAATGTAGAACCTGAAGAGGATTTATTGAGAAGAACATTCTTCATCCCTATATTAGTGTTAGGTATTTCATTGAAATCGTAAAACTGGTAGCGCTGAACGGTTGTTTTGTCCCGGATATGGGACTTTTCAGTAGTAGGCATCAACGACTCTTGCACGTGGGACTCGAACTCAGGTCATTTGATCTCGCGCGTAAACGCTAAATCTCTGGATCACTGAGATAGCAGCTGACACTGTGATCTTGCATTAGGTGGTTAACTGTCTCACAATGCCAACTGATTGAATAATTTGTGAATCTAAAAGTTAAATCTTAATTTTATAGGCTACTAAATGATAAACAAGATAGATATCTCAATGGTTTAGAGGTTAAGCGTTTGCGCGCGAGCCCGTGGATGTGCACCACTGAGGAGTTTCGTTCTAGGGCTAAATGGTCGTCCCTTTCCTCCAGGTTTCCAAAGACTGTCCTACTAAGGTCCTTTCATTATTCTGGTCATAAAAATAATACAAACTCCACAAATTTCCTTCAGTAATATTGGCAGTTGTTTTGTGAATTAAATTTTCCATGTATTTATTACTTACTAATTAAACTATTTACCTACTTACTGACTTACTTACTTGCGCCTTTTACCATTTGTGATGCATAGGCTGCCTACCAGCTATCTCCACTTTTCTCTCTCCTGGACTCTCCTTTCAAAATGTTGCCATATGCTGTTCATTCTTTTGATGTCTCTCTCTCCCTCTCTCTGTGTGCAGTCTATCCAATGATCTTCCTTGAGGGTGTTTCAAGTTAAAGCCTGTCTTGTGATGTATTTAATGATATACGCAATATCTGTTCTATCCACCAAAATAATCAAGTAAATCTAAATGAAAGTTTCTTGAAAAAGTTTTGCTCACTGAACTTTTTTTCCTGACTAAAATAGTAACAAATTATCATTTCATTGTAGAAAAAAAAGAAAATATGAATTAAGATTGACAGGTAGGAGAAAAAACAAAACACAAGGCAACTAATTTTACAGAGCAGCTGTTATTTATTAAACGAACAAATAAATAGGTCAGTAAATAAATAAAAGAAATCATTTTCACACGCCCAAATAATTTCATGAAAATGTCTGAAATTACTACACAGGTAGATAAGATCTTAAAAGATTAATGTTACCTAGACAATGCTTAACGATTTGATGATGCTAGTAATCACATTACTAACAGTAATAATATAACGTTTCATTCCATTCCGATTGGTTGTGAAAGTGTATAACATTGATGTTTTCTTGCTTAGAAAATAAAATCTGGAAATTACCAACATTGACCATTGTTTTTTTTTGTGCTTCTGTTACACATTACATTAACTTAAAAAGTATTTTTAATGTAAATTTTTTAAACGTACAACTTCGAAAAATGTTTATTTCTCACTTTCCTATAAGAAACATGTATTTCTATTCATAAAAAAAAAGACCAGATGAGACTATGGCTCGGACTGTTATTGTTAATTTACCTATACGTATCACTGTTATCATCGAAGGTCTACTTGGTACAATATTCAACAGTGCAGCAATTATTATTGTTTTCAAAACTCAATTTGGCTCTAAATTAACAACATGTATGCTGAGAGCACAACCAATATTTGATTTCTGTGCTTGTTTTTTTACAGCTATTTATTATATTATTCAATCTACGGATTATTATAATAAACTGACAGGATTATACATAATTGACTTAGTAATATGTCATACATGGTTTAGAAATGCAAACTTTTGGTTATCATGTACATTTAGTGTGCAAAACCTAGTTTGTATATCAGTGGATCGAGTGAGTTCTGTTATATTCCCTAGACTATATAGAACGCATTCATGTCAATTTACTGTTACGTATTATACTTACATGATTCTCATGTCGTTATTTTTATACATGCCAGCACCTGTACTTCGTCGTTATGTTAATGATCATTGTGAAATGGATTTTTCATTCCCTTGGATTGCAGCTAGTGTATTTCTTGATTTTATGGTATATTCATGGATTATATTCGCTTATTTTATACCAGTTTTAGTGATGTTAATTAGTCATGTATGGGTAATAAACATTATTAGAAAGACTCACTCATCTCGTCATAGTCGTATATCACAGAATACCCAGTCAACATTACACATTAAACGTAAAATAAGTCAGTTAGTTATAACAACAGCAATTTTATCAGGTCAACTAGCTTTACTACATGCATTCGAGTCTATACGTCAAATATTAATTGCAAATAAAGTTATCGCTTATAGTTATAGATCGATAACTGGACATTTAGGTCCTATGTTAATATTATTAGGTTGTGTTTTAAATCCATGCGTACTTATACTTACTACAGCTACCTTAAGAAGACGTTTATCAATATCGTTAAAAATTATCACTGAAAGGATGAGTGTCTCTGGAAAGTAGGAAATATCTTCAAATCATTCAGATCTGCAAATATTTACAAATGATCGACCATAATGAATGTCATCAGTAATAGTATAAAACATATTGATATATATATATATATATAGCCAAACGCTGGAAACTAATCTGTACAATTTAAACTACTAATCACAACAACAGCATGCATTTTATTCCTTCGATGTATATTTACTTTTAACTATACCAATTATTTTATTTATCATAAAACTGATGATGTAAATTTAATTTTTTTTTAAGATAATTTTTGTACAGAATCTAATCAAGTTGTGTATGCATGCATTTATACCTTCATTTATCCATCAATATAACATAATACATATTGTATTGATCATTATTATTTATCAGAATTAATTAAGAAAATAGACAACTTCTGTGAAAGTACAATGTTCTATAAGTCAAAGGGCTTAGTATTTTAATTTTATAACTTAACAACAACAATGATCGTTAATCAATATTACTATTAACTTTTTCGAACAAATGATCGATTCCTGATCTTGATAACCAACAAAACAAACAAACAAACATACAAAAATATTTTTGAATGTGCTGAGCAGATTTTTATTTAGTTCTATTTTCTTTCATGTGAATTTATTTATTTACTACTTCCAAGGAAAATACTTTCAATTAACAATTTACTAAACGCCCATACTTTTACAGATTAATAAGAAAGTGATCTTAAACATATCATAAAATATATAAATGATTGACTAGTAGTTACCTACTTGGAAGCATGATTTATCTTTCAAATAACAAGTTTCAAATTCCGACCCGCTTCATTTATATCATTTCGGATAACCTAATAAAATTCTCTAGTTTTTAAAACAAATACATTTATACTTGGTAAATTATGAATTGTTTTACTCTTATCATATACTTTTTTTATAATAATGCAAATATTATGTTTGTTGAGTTCTTCATTAGCTTCATTAGCTAAGATGACTGAAGCATGTATCAGGTATAGCCAGTCACCACTTAATACGAATATTCATGCTATCTAGTGTTCGAATAGTCTGAAAGAAGGTGAGGAAAGGCCGAAATGCGATATGGTATAACTCAATGAGGTCATTATTAGTCAAAGCAAGTCGTGTAGGTAGATTAAGACTACTTGGTTGGGGTTCACGTGACTATCGTGACTAATTAATTTGTTCAAAAGCTGGGATCAGCCCTTTCGGATAGACAATAAAAGCACTCACTACACATATACCATGTTCGTTGTTACGACTGTCTGAATGATTATGATCTTCATATAGAACTAATGAGTTTCCGTGTTGATAGCAGCTTGAATGATTGCTTTGAACGTCCAACACTGACTGTAATTCTCCAAGCATAAAGAATATGTCACATAATCTAAGAACAATCACACGTAAAATGTTCGTGTTTTGGTCAGCTAAAATTTATGAACAAGTGTTTTCATTTATGAAACTTAACATACAAACGTTAATTTAAGGTAAGTTTTATAAATTCAGACAAACAAAATATATATATTCAATGCCACAACAAGTGAGTTTCAAGGTTAATGCTACAAATCAGTTAAGTAACGTATCTGAATAATATCAAGTTTGTACACATATTTGACTACAAATCAATGTTGTAGTGACAAGTGCAGCTCATCAACTTAAGATTGTTATTAGGGTTTTCACATAGAAAAGGATAAAGATCCTAAAAACTATTGAATTTAACATCTCCGTGTCCACTCGTTATTCGTAAAAGTCTGAATTCATTCTTTTAAGAAGGATACTCATAAATACAAACTCAAATGTACTTTATTCATGAGAAGATCACACTGCACTTAGTTCAGTAAATTAACTATATAACTGTCTTCTGTCTTAATAAACTCAATGTTTCACAGAAATTACTATGCATATCAGCATTTGATTAATGAGCACTTTGTTGCTTACTACTATACTGTGATATTCAAACTTACTTTTAACAAGATTTAGACCATCAATATTTTCTTCTATGAAAATTCCTAATGACCCGTTTTATTTAAGTTTTGATTGGTTACCAGAACATTTAATAAAAGTCGCCTTGTGAATGGAAATATCCAATATCCAGTTTTCACAAACTCAGTAAAATTCAATCACATTTATATATATTTCAATAAAATCGGCATAAATTGTATCTTAAAATTTTTTTCACAGTAAATCGGTCGAACAGAATTGAACAATGAATGAAACACTTAACGTTATTTTACCTATCCGGATTTTTGTTATAGTTGAAGGAATAATCGGTACAATATTCAACATGGTCGCTATAGTTCTTATTTTCAAAGTGAGCATAGGTTCCAAATTCACATCATTCTTACTTAGAGCTCAATCTATACTTGACTTCAGCGCATGTTTCACAGCAGCTTTTTATTACATAATTCAATCCACCGATCAATATAATAAACTAACTGGAATATACATTATTGATATTTTGATATGTCATTTATGGTTTCGAAATGCATTCTTCTGGTTATTCTGCATCATGAGTGTACAAAACCTAGTTTGTTTATCATTGGATCGAGTGAGCTCTGTCACATTTATTGGATCACTCAAAGCCTACACAAACAGATTCTTCATATTATACTTCATTTATATGCTCTGTATGTTTCTAATCTTGTATATACCTACACCACCTCTTCGTCGATATAACGAAAGTAATTGTGTGATGGATTTCTCGTTCCCTTGGATCCAAACAAAAGTATTTTTAGATTATATTGTATACTCCTGGATTGTATTCGCTTACTTTGTTCCAGTTCTAGTAATGTTGATTAGTCATGTGTGGGTAATCCATATTATTAAGAAAAATCAATCACCGAATCACAATAATTTGACTCAAAATGTGGAGGCCAATTTAAGAATGAGAAGGAAAATACATCAGTTAGTCATTACAACAGCGATCATGTCATGTCAACAAGCTGTACTACATTCATTTGAATGCATAAGTCAAATACTGATCACATGTGAAGTTGTAGTGTACACTTATGGCACTCCAGCTGAACAGATGGGCACAATACTTATATTATTCGGATGTTCTTCTAATCCTTGTATTCTTATCTTTAGTACAACTGCTCTGAAAAGGTATTTGTTCTCCCTAATTAAAGGTAAAATAGAAAAATTGACCAGTGTTGAAACATTTGGTCAAACAGAATATAACTAGCACAAAGAATATATGAATATAATAATTTTAAATATTGTCTAATTCGATAATAATTACGATAATATACTGAGTGTTGTACAGTGAGTAAATTGCCATTGTTATTTTAATGTTATTCACGAAAATAATATTCTGATGTTGATGCACAATCCACCATTCATAAATGTTAATTTTCTGATGATACTGTTTGTGTATTGACTATTGTGATAGCGTGTAATGTGAATAAACCGAAAATAGCAATAATAGTAATAATAATAAAATTTTTTCTACTGAATTGGAAAAGTTACAGCATTTATTGAAAGTAAACCCTTCATTGAACATCTAATGAAGTTAATTTAAGATTGGTCATAGCAGTGAAGGAACGGACGGTAAATCGATCAAATTTTAATCTCTTAAAACTCTTTTATTCCCCTGTTTGCTGCTCGCTTTCATGAATATACACCCGTCTCAGTCGCATTTTTTCTCACCCAAATTTTCTCTCGTACCCTTATGGATGAAGATAAATAGAAATAAACCGTTTAGACATATGATACTGAGTTGTTGTTCGTTGATTTTGGACAACTTCAAAGTTGCACTGAATGAATTTCTATGCTTAAGACAAGCTTAACTCAATATTTTTGTAGACTATACATACTTACTATGCCCATTTTGATTTTCATTGGAATCATGACATAAGAAGTGAGTATAAATCTGCAGTATTGTAATGTGAAGAGGAATAGTAAAACAATGTCAAATAACAAAAGCTAGTTTTTGGACACTATCTCGATCAAAACTAGGTTTTGTGTCTGCTTTATTCTACAAGCTACAGGCTTTTGTTGAATTCATAATGTACTGACGTGTTTCTTCCTATTCAATAATTGCCACTCGGATACCCTAGTTTGAGTATAATGGTATTTTCCTAATTCTACATGCGTTGAGGTCCTAATGGTCATGTGTTTGTTCATGTACCTTTTTGAGTGAGTTAAATCAGGATTAAATCATACGTACCGTTCCGTCTAATTCGTCTTATCTCTTCACTTGCAAACCAGTCAGGTCATAGGTTAGTGGCCCTAAGGCTATTCAGCCACATGTTGAAGTTACATGCCTCAAGTCTCAAGATTATACTAAGTAAACTGTCACATCAAGTCTGCAAACTAGATCCAGATCACTTTTTATTTCCCGACATATCAAGCACCGATTAAACGGGTTGACAAATCAAGGAAGTACATATTGAAACAGGCATTCGATATAAAGTCGAAACATCAGAGAAGGGAAATCTTAAAGTAAACATCTGAATCATAGGTGACACTTTATAATCAAAGCCATAAACTACTAGTTAATGTTCTGTGTGGCTTTCTGCCCGGGACGGTACCCAGCAGACTTTCAGTAAAATTCACTATCATTCTTCATACATACAGGTTAACGTGTACTAAGTTGTTTGATTGTTCCAGGTATATTAAATGTGAATGCCTCAAATATTGATTTGTTTGGCCGACTATCTATCTATCTATCTATCTATCTATCTATCTATCTATCTATCTATCTATCTATCTATCTATCTATCTATCTATCTATCTATCTATCTATCTATCTATCTATCTATCTATCTATCTATCTATCTATCTATCTATCTATCTATCTATCTATCTATCTATCTATCTATCTATCTATCTATCTATCTATCTATCTATCTATCTATCTATCTATCTATCTATCTATCTATCTATCTATCTATCTATCTATCTATCTATCTATCTATCTATCTATCTATCTATCTATCTATCTATCTATCTATCTATCTATCTATCTATCTATCTATCTATCTATCTATCTATCTATCTATCTATCTATCTATCTATCTATCTATCTATCTATCTATCTATCTATCTTATTTATTTATTTATTTATTTATCTCTCTATCTGGTAATTACATCGTAATTCTATATTTAT